TATAGAGGAGAGCAGGAGGCGGGGTTACCAATCTACTCGCTCTGGAGAGCAGAGTTCGCTGCTAAAGCGCTAAGTTGGCAACACTGCTCTTTGCATGGTTTGTTTTCAAATGGTTTGCTGCTGTCTGTTTGGACCTTTCTGAACATGTGCAGCAAATGGACTGATCCAATATGGTGGACACTGAAGGGGGGGCTGAGACACACTTAATATTATAAGTATTCTGATGGCATTTTGGAGAAAAGATTTTAATCAAAAACATAATTAATGTGCACAAATAAGGAATAGCTGTACATGTAAACAGTTTTATGGGGCCCCCAGGGACTTGGGGCCCTAGGCAGGAAAAGCTGGATTCATGTCCAAGAAGAGTATTCATTGAAAATGACTACTTAAGAACAAACTCTTGCAATGAAATTAAGAACTAGGATCCCTTTTAGGATGTAATGAAATGTGAAGTGGAGTAAAAGTTTGGAGGCAATCTGCCGTGTGGTTTGGTTTCAGGGCGGAGCTCCAGCCTCCTCCTCCTCCTCCTGCCGGCCCTACAGGAGGAGACCTGAGGAGAGAATGGGAGAAATCTCACAGCCTCATTAATGATGACAGGAGCATCCTGATGTGCTTGACCAGTGAAAATTTGTCCATGTCAGATGATAAGGCTCCAGTTCAGCCAGTTTATGACAACAGCTGCAACCCCCCCGGCGTAAAGAGGACTGCCGCTGCTTCCTGCTGTGATGCAGGACTGGACTCCAAGCCGAAGAGCTTCACATCGATCAGCACTCAGACCGAAGCTCCAAGCTCAGCGGAGAAGAGCGTCATGACTGTGGTTCTTATGTCTGATCTGGACTGTCTCTCTGAGGTGAGGTTGGAGCCTAACCAGCTGTGGACTGTTGTTTTCCATGTTTTTACACCTTCTTTCTCCTTTCAGGAGTTAAAAAGACTCCAGATGCCTGAAGAATGCAATGAGCCAAAGAAAAAGAGCCAAAGGTAACGTTTCGGCCTCGATCTTTTCCTATTGCAACACAACAGATGTTTCCTGTCTAAAAGATCCAGGAAGATAAGGACTGAAATGATTGAATGTTTGGTTCTCTAAATCCGGGGTCTGCAACTGTTCAAAGAGCCACATTGATCC